CCTGCAGCCTCAGCCTCCCAGGCTCAAGCCGTTCTCCCACCTCAGCCTCAGGAGGGGCTGGGACTGCAGGCAGCACCATGACACCCAGCCATTTCTTTTTAATTTTGGTAGAGACAGGGTCTTTCTATGTGGCCAGGCCGGTCTCAAACGCCAGGCCTCAAGCAAATCTCTCCCCTCAGCCTCCCAAAGTGCTGGGATTGCGGGCATGAACCACCAATGCCTGGCCCCAAGTGTTCTCAAAAAACTCGCTGAAACTGTTTTTCTCCTCTGATCTCACAGCACCACAATCACCAACACAAAAAGAGACTTCTGCGACCCACAGGTGTGGGTTTTCCTCCCACGCCAAGCAGCGGACACCGGCTGGCTGTCCCGTAACTCAGCTCCAACGCCATCCACCTGGAGACAGACAGATCCCACAGGGTGAGGGCTCCGGCCCCATGACTGCCCCCTCCCCAGACCCCAGTCATAAGTTGGGGCTCGGAGAACTCTGACTGAACGCTCATCTTTTCATCTGTTTTTTTTTTTTTTTTTTTTTTTTGGGATGGAGTCTCGCTCTGCCGCCCAGGCTGGAGTGCAGTGGTGCGATCTCGGTTCACTACAACCTCTGCCTCCTGGGGCTCAAGCGATTCTCCTGCCTCAGCCTCCTGAGTCGCTGGGATTACAGGTGCCCACCACCACGCCCAGCTAATTCTTTGCATTTTTAGCAGAGATGGGGTTTCACCATGTTGGCCAGGATGGCCTCAATCTCCTGATCTCATAATCCACTCACCTCAGCCTCCCAAAGTGCTGGGATTACCGGTGTGAGCCACTGCGCCCAGCTTTTTTTTTTTTTTTTTTTGACATAGTCTCACTCTGTGACCTAGGCTGGGCGCAGTGATGCAATCTCGGCTCACCACGAACTCCACCTCCCAGGTTCAAGCTGCCTCAGCCTCCAAGCAGCTGGGATTACAGGCACCTGCCACCACACCCAGCTAATTTTTGTCTTTTTAATAGAGACAAGGTTTCACCATGTTGGCCAGGCTGGTCTCGAACTCCTGAGCTCATGATCTGCCCATTGTGGCCCCCCAAAATGCTGGGATTACAGGTGTGAGCCACCACGCCCGGCCAGACGCTTCTCTTTGGGTTCAATTAATTTGCTGGAGTGGCTCACAAAACTCAGGGAAGCACTTCCTCAGTTTACCAGTTTACTATAAAGGATATTTCATAGGATACAGATGGACAGATGCGTTGGGCCAGGTATAGGGAAGGGACTCAGGGCTTCCTTGCCCTCCCCCGCACACCACCCTCCAGGAATTTCCACCAAGTCCAGCGGTGTGGAAGCTCCCTGAGCTCAGTCCTCTGGTTTTTAAGGAAGCTTAGCATTCCCTCCCCCGGGGCACAAGGTAGGACCCTTGAAGGTGGGGAGATTTGAGTCCCTCCTTGGGGCAGGTGAAAGATGGGAGGAGAGGTCAGTGGGACAGATTCTGTCCAACATGGAGAAACCCCGTCTCTACCAAAAATACAAAATTAGCCAGGTGTGGTGGCAGGTGCCTGTAATCCCAGCTACTCGGGAGGCTGAGGTAGGGGAATCACCTGAACCCGGGAGGTGGAGGTTGCCGTGAGCTGAGATCACGCCATTGCACTCCAGCCTGGGCAACAAGAGCGAAACTCCATCTCAAGAAAAAAAAAAGTAAATAGATAAAATATGTTGCACCAATGATATGTCAATGTATTCATCCAGAAGATGGAATCAAAATTTCCCATCAAAACATGCAACACGATTCTACTCACCCCACTTCCATCTTAAATTCTATAATCCAAAACTTCTCGTCTGTCAATATTTGAAGGCTGCAGTTAGAGCGTTCATCACACGAATACTTCCCCAGAAACTCCGCAATGGAACGTTAACATCAGTAAATGAGGCTGGTTCACACAATGAGTTTATACCCATGGGAGTGGGTAAGGTTGAGGATACGTAAACAAGGGATCCAGGCTGGGTGCAGTGGCTCACGCCTGTAATCCCAGCATTTTGGGAGGCTGAGGTGGGCAGATTACTTGAGGTCTGGCGTTTGAGAGCAGCCTGGCCAATGTGAAACCCCATCTCTATTAAAAATACAAAAGTTAGCCGGGTGTGGTGGTGTGCACCTGTAATCCCAGACACTTGGGAGGGTGAGGCAGGAGAACGGCTTGAACCCAGAAGGTGGAGGCTGCAGTGAGCCAAGATCATGCCACTGCACTCCAGCCTGGTGACAGAGGGAGATTCCATCTCAAAAAAAAAAAAAAAAATTAAAAAGCAAAGATTCCAGGCTCTCAGGTCTGTACTCTTGATTTCCAAATAAAAACCACCACAAAGGAAAAGAAATGCTGAGGCCGTGAGCATTAAGACAGGTCAGGCGGTGGCTCACGCCTGTAACCTCAGCATTTTTGGAGGCAGAGGCGGGTAGATTCCTTGAGCTCCGGAGTTTGAAACCAGCCTAACATGGCAAAATCCCGTCTCTACAAAAAACACAAAAATTACCCAAGTGTGGTGGTGTGCACCTGTGATCCCAGCTGCTGCAGAGGCGGAGAAAGGAGGATCATTGAGCCCAGGAGGCCGAGACTGCAGTGAACCGAGGTCACGCCCCTGCCCTCCGACCTGGACGGCAGAATGAGACTGTCTCAAAAAAAACCCGGAAAACAAAACACAAAACATTAAGACAGATGAGACGCTGCCCTAGATCAGAAGAGACAAAAGCCACACAATAAAACCCAAAGACGCTGAGCCCGGAGGGATCCTGGACCGGACAGTGCGGCTGGCTGTCGCAGAGGCTGGGAACGGGACGGCTGGGGAGGTCGGAGAGTGCTGTCTGCGTCCGTGTCCCCCACTGTGACCGCCGGGCTGTGGCCCTGTCAGCGAGTGTCTGTAGGAAATGGCACGAGGGTCTGGGAGTGGCACAGCGTCCCGCCTCCGGAGTCCTCAGAACAGCAGCAGGCTTCGGGGAGAGAGGGCTTGAGGGGAAAGCAGCCGTGGGGAAACGCTGGCATTTGCGGGATGTGGGTGAGGGAAACACGGACGTTTCTTGCAGTATTTTCGCAACTTTTCTGTAAGTCTAAAATTATCTGAAGACCAGATGTGGTGGCTCAGGCCTGTAATCCCAGCACCTTGGGAGGTTGAGGCCGGTGGATCACCTGAGGTCAGGAGATCAAGACCATCCTGGGCCAACATGGCGAAAACTGGTCTCTGCTAAAAATAAAAAAAATCAGCCGAGCATGGTGGCAGGTGCCTGTAATGCCAGCCACTTGGGAGGCTGAGACAGGAGAGGCCTCCCCTGAATCTGGGAGGCGGAGGTTGCACCGAGCTGAGATCGCGCCATTGCACTTACAGGCTATAAGGGTGAAACTCTGTCTCAAAAAAAAAAAAAAAGAGGGAAAGGAGGAAGAAAGGAAGGAAGGAAGGAGGGAGGGAAGGAAGGAAGGGAAAAAAGGAACTGTTAAGAGAATGAAAAGAAAGCCACAGACTGGGAGAAAAACCTTTGCAAATCACCTGTGTAATAACGGACAGATAACCAGAAGTTATAAAGAAGTCTGGGGCCAAGCATGGTGGCTCACGCCCGTAATCCCAGCAGTTTGAGAAGCCAAAGAGGGATGATCCGTTGAGCCCAGGAGTTTGAGACCAGCCTGGGCTATATACCGAGACCCAGTCTCATTCTTTTTTGACAAAGTCTCGCTCTGTCTCCCAGGCTGGAGTGCAGCGGCGTAACCTTGGCTTACTGCAGCCTCTGCCCCCCAGGTTCAAGCAATTCTCCTGCTTCAGACTCCTGAGTAGCTGGGACTACAGGTGCCCGCCCCCCCGCCTGGCTAATTTTTTGTATTTTTAGTAGAGACGGGGTGTCACCATGTTGGTCAGGCTAGTCTCGAACCTCTGATCTCGTGATCCGCCCGCCTTGGCCTCCCAAAGTGCTGGGATCACAGGCGTGAGCCACTGCGCCCGGCCTCAGCCTCTCACATTGAAGCCAAAACGTAAAGAAGACTCAAAACTTACAAAATAAGGAAACGACGTGATTTTCCTTAGTGGTCAAAAGCTTGAATGGACCCTGGAGAAGATGCACGGGTGCAAGTGAGCGCGCAGAACGCGTTCAGCCTCATTCCTCACTCGGGAGGCGCGAACCGCAGCCCCGGCGAGACGCCACCACCAGGGAAGTGGCCAAAACGTAGAACCCGGCGGGAGGAGCAGCTGGGAGCGCCGCGGCCGCGGGGGAGCGCGTCTGGGCAGCTGCTGGCGGCGCCCCACATCCCTCACCCCCGGCTCGGCCCCCCAGGTGTTTACCCAAGTGCAATGAAGACCTCTGTTCACACGGAACCCGCCGTGGAGGCGGCGGCGGCGCGTCCCCGAGCACCCCACGCGGAGGCGCCCGGAGTGTCCTCGTGGCGAGGGCCCCGGCGCGCGGTCTCGGCCGGAGGGAAGGACAGGACCCGGGCGGGCTGCGGGCTCGGCCCCTCCTGAGCACCCAGGGGAAGGCCCAACGCGGGCGCCGCGGCCTCGAGGCGGGGGCGCGCGTGGGGAAGCCCTGAACGCCGCAGCCTGCGCAACGCACCGGGCCTCCCTCCGGCCTCGGAGGCGCCCTCGAGACACCGAGAGCGCGGCAGGCGCGTACCCAGCCGCTTCCCCCGGCCCCCCCCGCGCGCCCCCAAAGTCCCTCGCGCGCCTCCAACCCCCGCCCGGCCCCCGCGCGCCCCAAACCCCCCGCACGTCCCCCGCGCGCCCCCAACCCCCGCCCGGCCCCCGCGCGCCCCAAACCCCCCCGCGCGCCCCCAACCCCCGCCCGGCCCCCGCACGCCCCCGAACACCCCCGCGCGCCCCCGGGTCTCCCACGGCAGGAGGGGAGGGGTCTGCGGGTGGGCGGGGCCTCAGCCGAGCCGGGGGTCGGAGGCGGGCCGTGCGCCAAGCCCCGCCCCCGCGCGCCCCCGCCGCGCCGCGGTCGGCCGTCAGAAAGGCGCGCGCCCTCGCCTTTAACGCGGGCCCGGGGGCGCGCGGCCCGCATGGCGAGGGAGCGGCGGCCGCTGCGGGCCGGGCCGGGCCGGGGCTGAGGCCGAGCGAGCCGCGGGGCCGGCGCAGCCCCGGCCGGCGCCCACCATGCGGCGGCTGCGGCGCCTGGCGCACCTGGTGCTCTTCTGCCCCTTCTCCAAGGGCCTGCAGGTAAGCGCGGCGCGCGCCCGCCGCCCCCGCCGCCTCTGCGCGGGGAGGCCGAGGTCCAGCCGCGGGGGTGGGCCGAGCGCGGAGCGGGGCCCGGCTCGGACACGAGCGGCTCCTGAGCCCGAGTGGGCAGGGGGAGGGGCGGGGGCTCGGGAAGGCCCGGACTCTGGGGGAGGGGCGGGGGCGGCTCCGGAGGCCCCGGGCGCGGGGCTGCTGCGGCCTGGAGGCCCCCCGACCTGCAGGCGGTCCCTGCCCCCAGGCGGTCCCTGCCCCCAGGCGGTCCCTGCCCCCAGGCCCAGAGGCCACACAAAAGTCTTTTCCCGTTTTCTCCACTTGAAAAATGAGGTGTGTTATTCTGCGGTGGAAAACTTGGGACACAGAAACGCCCTGGCAAGGACGTGACCTCCCCGCCCCGCCCCCTGCATCCCATCGGCCGGCCTTAGCGCGGGGACCCTGCGCCGACCCCCAGATGACCTTGTACTAGTCACCGTCCCCGCCAGGGGCCTGGCCGGCCCAGCGGGGGAGGCCCGGGCTGCCCTGGGTTCCAGCTGCTGGGAGCCCCTTTCACCCTCCGCTCTGGGGGGGTGCGGGCCAGGCCCGTCAGGCTCCATCGCTCCGGGCGGCCTCTGACGGGATGCCATCCCAGGCCCTCCAGGACCCCAGCCATCGGCCGGAGGAGCCGGTCCTGGTCAGATCTGCCTGTACTTCCCTGGCCCCCGCCCAGCAGTCTTGGGGTCAGCAGGAGGACACCTGCCAGGCTCCTGCCTGGGCTCAGGGCCTGGCTGGCCTCAGCTCCCCTTCTGGGAAGAGGATGTGGAACCCAGCGAGACCCTCTGTGCCCACCTGGGACTTCAGGGTGGTGGTCCTGTCCCAGCCCAGCCCTGGGGCAGAGTTGAGCTAAACGGTGTGAGACCACCCCAATCGCTGGGAGTTGGGGCATGCAGTGGTCCCCTGCCCGGAGGAAGGGCCTGGACCAGCAGCTGCAGAACAGATGCCGATGCCAGGAGCTCCGCCCAGGAATGGCAGGAGAGGGGTGCTGGCTGCTCCCAGGGTGGCTGGCTCAGGACCAGAGCTCCATGGGAGCCCACCCTGCCCCTCCTGTGGCGTGGGCTCAGTCTCCTGGCCTTGTGAACTGCCCTCCTGGGTTAGTGCTGTGGAGCTCCCGGCCCACGGTCTGCACCTGCTGGGCTGAGGACTATGATGCATCCCCTGGACAACCCTCCACACCCTCAAAGTGGCTTCACCTGGAGCTGGTCTCCACCTGCCCCTGCAAAGGCCCAGCCCAGGTCCCAGATGATGGGGCAGCTTCCACTCAACCTATGCCAGGCCTGGGAGTCAGGGTGGGCCAGGGAGCACTGTGGGGGCCTTGCAGAGCAGCTGTTTGGGACCCCAGGACCCAGAGCAGGTCAGGGATGGCAGCTGGGGAAGTGCCCGTGTACGATCAAGGCCCGGGGAAAGGCTGGGCAAGGTGGCTCATGCCTGTAATGCCAGGACCTTGGGAGGCTTGGTGGGAGGCTGAGGCTGCACCAAGCTGTGACTGCACCGCTGTACTCCAGCCTGGGCAACACAGCAAGACCCCGTCTCAAAAGGACAACAAAACAGCCGGGACGAACCAGAGCCAGCCAGGCGGAAACAGGCTGGGGCCCAAGCCCAGACGGGGCGCTGGGGAGCAGAACGAGACGAGTCCCCAGCTTGGCGTCACCGCCTCCAGCCGGGGTCACCCCTGGGCCCGGCCGGCCACAGCCTCCCCCTCCTGGCTTCCTCCGAGGCCCCGCCCATGCTGGGCCTCCCTCCATGGCCCTGCCTCGGGCGCGTTCACCCCAGAGGGAGCCGCCGGCCCTTACCCTGCCAGAACTCCCACGCCCCACTGCTTCTCTGCTTTCCTGTTTTTCATCTTGAGCAAATCTGCCGGAAACAGACGCGGTACCCAGGACAAGTGGTCTGAGGGGGTGGAACCCACCTGGGCCTGGAGGGCTCCCCCGCCAGCCACGTCGTCTGTTCCAGGCGACCCGGGATCCCACTGCCACCGGAGCTCCGGGCCCTTCCCCGACTGCTGGGGGTCCTCGCTCCGTAGCCCTGCCTGAGGTGGCCACCAGTGGGTGGATGCTGGGGAAGCAGGAGGCCAGGGCCCACTTCTCCGGAAAGATCCAGAAAAATGACCCCAGCTGCCTTGTCTTCGTTGAGAGGCTGGTGGCCTCATTTTAGGAAGGAGATCCCTACTCTTGGCAAGAGCAGAGCTGTAGCCCATGACCTCTGATGGGTGCCCTGACTTGGCCAGGTGGGGGTGTGGCCAGGCACTCCCAGGAGGAGATTTGACCAGTGGGCATCCTCTCCTTGGTCACCGGTGGCCACAAGGGGCGCTTGGAGCCAGCAGTGGGGCCTCTCTGGGGGGAAGCTGGCCCCCAAGCCTGGACCCTTCTGCCTTCGGCTGCACGTCAGGGATGTCTGAGCCCCTGCATGGGGCAAGTCCCCTCTGCTGGCCCCTCCTGGACAGTGCCTGAGAGGCCTGACATTTGCTAGGAGGCTGGGGAGAGGGTGGTGGCCCGCAGCTGTTCCTGGCCCTCACCCTTGGAAGCCCAGCCTGGAGGCCTAGGTGGGGATGGCTTGCCCAGCACCGTGAGCCAGCATGCTAGAGCCTGTACCAGCAGGGAAACTGAGGCAGAGGGACTGAGGACGGCAGAGGGACCTGGAGCCCTCCCTAAAAACCAGTTCCCGGACATCTGGGTCCGAGCTTTAGGAGGGGGCCAGGGGCTGTGTGCTTACCTAATTTTTTTT